AAAAGACGTCGCCATTTTAATCTTGCGTACTACTTTCGTTTTGTACTTATTTTTCCAGTATGAATTTAATTAATTTTATATAAAATCAAATAATATTGAATATCCAATAATAATTGTAAATTAAAGTTTATTTGATGTATTTAATTACGAGTGTGAAAAATGAAGCTTAAGACATAAGGTAATTTCGAAAGGCATAGTTTTTCATGTTGCAAGAGTTGAAGGTGTTTCTGGCCATTCTTGCTGTGCAAGCGTAGCTTGGGATTACAGTCCGCCATTACGTCACGAAAGTTGTAATCACGTAAGAGGTATGAATTCTTGTTCTTGAAGTGAAATATTAAGATTTGTTGTTATAGTTTTTAGTATGAAAAGCGAGAAAATTTTATGGGAAAACAAGATGCAGTATAAAGTTTACTTTCCGAAATTCAAATTTAGCAATTGTGACCCTCCATATAGTGAGTCGTCATGTGTGTCCAATGATGCCGCTCTTGCATTAAAAGTAAGTAAAACTAGAAGACGGTGATGTCAACTGGCAATTTTACAATAAACTGACATTGTATATTAATTAATATTTATGCAAAATAACATGAGAACATTGGAGGTTGCAATGCAAGTGCCGGAATGGACCACCCCTTATGCGTGCAAACAACATTTACGTGCACAGCTGCAAGAGAGCATGGCCATGGATGTTGGAGTTGTTAGTAGAAAAGACAATGAATGTGTTTATAAATTTCCTGATTTTAGGTGTGTGTCTGAATTTTCCGTCACGTTTTGCTGAAAACAATGTGGTGCCACCCCCAATGCTAGTGGTAGATTTGAATGTATTTAACAAACGTCTTTCCAGTGAACAATTAAAATAAAAGTATGTCATGTATAGGACAGTTGTTAGAAAGAGTTTTATTTTATAACTAATGAGTACGTTTTTGCGCTTCAAAGAATTTATAATTATTAATTGAGGTTTTTTATTTAAAAAAATACTAAGTAGCTATGTGTGCACAGACTTAAGAATCCTATGGTAGTAGCAGTATTGTTGTTTCTTGCACAGACAGTCGCTATTGTGAGCTGAGACACCCCGTAAATGTTTGTCTTATGAGCTGATGAGGAAGCTCGAAGAAGAACCGAGACCATAAATGTCCAGGTATGTCTTCTGCAGTAGGGCAGAGGTATTCAGAAATACATTTTCTTATTTTCTTTCAAAAGAACTCGCTTCAAATGCTATTGCAATTCAACAATTTGTTAAAGGAAACCCCATTTCTTTTTCAACTGCTCCAGTACAAGACATTCATCTTATTTCACCAAATTTAACAATTTATTATTCCAAAATAATAATGTGCTCCAGGCTTCCGAAATTATAGCTACTTGTAAAAATTTGCCCCCGTTCTTCCAGAATAACAATTTTTTTGTTGTTAAAGGGAACCCATTTCTCTTTTAACTGCTCCAATACAAGACATTCATCTTATTTCACCAAATTTAACAATTTATTATTCCAAAATAATAATGTGCTCCAGGCTTCCAAAATTATAGCCAGTGCTACTTCTAAAAATTTGCCCCCGTTCTTCCAGAATAACATTTTTTTTGTTTGGTTATTAATTTGGCTGAAGACCTATTTTTAAATTTATGTACATATTTGTAACTTAAAGGAATATTAGACTGTTCATTTGTACAGTAGAGAAATTACATTTGTTTTTATAGTTTAAATACCATACACTCTTACGAATGTCTGTATGCATACAAATATTGAATATCTTATAAGATATTTTCTTTGGTATTTCTATAGATATTAAAAGATTTTGTCTAAACTCATGTGCCCAGTTTTTATCATGCTTTTGTATTTCAGTGCACATAATATTTTTATATTGGAGTAGTAATGATGTGTTGGCAGTTCCCTTCATCAGAACCAGAATGCTGCCTACCACATCTCCTGCCTTTGGATTATATTTTATTTGTTATATGTGTATTGATTTTTACTTCTAAGGTGTACACATTGTTTAAATGACGTGAACCTATTCGTTTGCAGAGAAAATAGATACTTTAATTAATATTTAGGACACAAGTACAAGCGTATTAAGTTAAAAAGAATAGAATTAGTTTTTTTAATAATATGAGTTTGATTTTTCGAAATTTAATTTGATGTTGAAAGAATATAAATACGAGTATATTTATCTGTACAGAAATTACATTTCTCAGTAGTTTAGTTCGAAGGTATACGTAAACACTTCTACAGTTAAGAGAATATAAGTGTGTTCGTTTTTAATGAGAATACATTTTACTATTTAAAATTTGTCTTTGAAGATTAAAGTACATCCTGATTTACATAACATAGAATTAGTCAATTAACTGTTTAAGAAACATTAATATTTCAGTATTCAAACATGGTGATTTGTTTGGTATCATGTCAGAATGAGATTCCAGCATGCGCGTACACGCGCTCTCTCTCACTAAATTCTTGCCTCTCCTGATATCTTTTGCTAATATAATGTTCACCGTCACGCTTTTCACAGAAAAACTAAAGTTGTCTTAATTTAAGTGAATTCTTGAGATGGAGGTGAACAATCCCCTTCATGAGACTTTTGTTGTGGTACAGTATATTAAGAAAACTGTGCAGCCAATAAAGTTGGAGTATTCCCTGTGTTTAATCAATGAAGCTCCACACCTTGAAAACGTATTGGGTGGGTGGAGATATGGCTCCAGTATTCATAATGTTCGTAAATGACGGAGGCTATTGGTCAGCTTAATTCGCTTGCCGCTTTAACCCCATGGAAAGAATTCCCATTATTGGGATTGTTGATGTTTTTCAACTTTACAATAAGTATCTTGTATGGAATATAATTAAGTATGATTTATTTAAATATGAGCAACAAAGACACTGCAATGGGTTTATCCGAAGGAATATTTTAGAAGGTGGCACCATTTCAAGCTTGTGTTCTACTTTCCTTTGTACATAGTTTTAATTACGAATTTTTATTTTATTAATATTTTATTGGATCAAGTAATATTAAATATTAATTATATGAAGGCTTTTATAACATAATTACGCATGTGAAAATTTAAGCTTAATAACTACATATTATTTCCAAAGGCACAGTTTTTCACACTGTATAATTACAGGGCGTGAGTGGCCATGCTAGTCTGTAAGCGTAGCAAGGAAGAGAAGTCTGCCATTCTGAGATGAAAGTTGAAAGGTCACATAAGAGGGATGAATTCTTGTTCTTGAGGTAAAATGTTTAGACTTGTTGAAATATTTTGAGTTGAAAAGCGAGAGAAGTGCATGAAAACACAGTTCTGTATAAATTTTATGTTTTGAAATGTGTATTTAATAATAGTGTTCATCGTCATGGTAAGGTGTTATGTGTATCCGAACATTTTGCTGGATGATCTTGCATTGAAAATAAATACAAACGAGATGACGGTGATCTTGACTGGCGTTTTGATAATAATACATTGTGTGCACTGTAACATGTTCTCATGCATGTGTGAAGAAAGTGATAATTTTTTCTTAAGGGAACAGGAAGGTCTGAAAGTGTTCTGAAACTGTGTAATCTTGGGTACGTTTAGAAATTGGTTATACCTTCATCCTAAAAAAAAGTGTGATTCCTCTAACCGCAGTCCTTTTATTGGATAAAGTTTCAGTTTCAACTTGTGAGTTATGAATTATGATGGTAGTTCATGAATTTAGTTGCATGTCCGTATTGTGTTACAGAGCTGTTAGGGATAGTTTCTCCCTATGTTTGTAAGATTTAAATGCTCGTGCCACAGTTAAAGAAAAAAAAATTATTTACCTGTGATCTAATTCTTTAATTTTAAATAATACGTAGCAGTTGTGTGTGCAAATTTTGGAATTCTGTAGTAAAAGCAGTGGGCCTTGTTCTACAAGACAACAGCTGCCACAGACTGGGAAGTTTTCTGTGTCTAAACATGAGAGGATGACGAGGGAATGTGATCAAGAGCTGAGACTGTGAGATATACAGGTATGTTGTCTTATGCACTTGGGCAAAGTTATCTGCAGTGGTACCATTTGCTGTTACCTACTTGCAACAGATCATATTTCTAAGATGATAATGTTTAATACTACCTTCATGATGTAGACATACTTGTTTAAACAAATATCATATACAATTTTTTTNCTGTATTTCAAAAATCTAGTGAGTTTCCTTAATCATATCCACAGGTCCTGCTTCATAGTAGCACATTTTTTGCATCTGTCTAAAAATTATTTTTTTTATTATAATTCAGTTCATGAACTACAATTATTTTTGGATACATGTACCATGCAATTTAATGTATGATTATTTTGTATTTATTTGCACTAAAGTTGTAAACTTGTAATACATAAGTATATACTCTCTAAGTTGAGTATAAATGTATTCATACCTACAGGAAATGCATGCAATTTCCTCAGATTTTACATTAAAGCTTAATTACTTTTTTTTAGACAAAGAATATAAATATTTTAATTTTTAGTGAAAGTAAATTTTTCCCTTTATTTTTAATATTAACTTCAAAGATTTAAGTGGCTGGTATTTTATCCTACAGAGAGTAAGTCTTCCATTTTCACAGAAATATTGTTTCAAATTGCTGACTCCTAGATTGCAGCACTCACACATAATTCTTGCCTGTCCTGATATCCTCTGTTCCTACAATGTCCACTGTCAAACTTTTTACAGAAAACTGGAAGGTGTTCACTGAAATGCTGTGCTGGGATGTTGGAAGACTGTGCAGTAGTTCCGGTTACAAGTAAGCATTAAAGATTATCTACATCGTCCACAGTTGTGTACAACAATCTTCAGATGCAGAATGTGAAGCTGTAGCTGTACTCGTATCTTATGTAACGTGGCAGAGTGGGGTAGATGTTGTAGTTTTCTAATTTGGGATCTTGGAGTCCATCTAAATTGTTACATGACACAAAGCACATAGCTCCTCTGTTACAAAGAGCTATCAGTTAGTGTCTTTTTATTGTGAGAATAATGTGAAGCAAATTAATTAGCATAGTGGGGGGGTGAAGTCAAGTTGGGTCGGCTCGGCACATCGGCCACTGATTATCCTATTGTACCTGCCCCGGGTGATTATGATGATGGAGAATTTGGTGGAATGAAGTCTGGTAAGGGAAACAGAAGTACTCGAAGAAAATCTACCACAGCGCCACTTTGTCCACCACAAATCCCACTTGACCAGACCTGGGTTTGAACCTAGGCCACCGTGGTGGGAAGCCAGTGACTAACTGCTTGAGCTGTTGTGCGGCCTTTGTAAAGCAAATACTCTGTATGTAAAGTGCAGAAGACATTAGATAATTGACTGGGCGAGGTACAAGTCTTCAGCAGTTTGACATTACTTAACAGCATCTGGTGGCCTATTCAAGGTAGTATTTGGGGATTTAACGAGGAAATTTAAGAAAACGAGAACTGAAAGTTATGTTGCAATGGTATGCACATTCCATGGATGTAATTTTGAGATTCTAGCTATGTCAGTGACCTCGATTTTAATTTATTTCCTATGCTGCTGCAAAGATTGTTGTACTGTAGGCATAAAGTGAAGTTACCCCTGTAATCTAGACATGGTAGCACCGCTCAAGTACAGGTGTGTGTGGATTGATGCTCCAGACATTCCCCAAGGTGAGTTCCAGGATCAGCTTAGGTGCATGCCAGTCACTACCAGTTGAGCTCAATATTGTATGTATACATTTAACTTTTAGAACATGTATTTTAATAGTGGCTTCTAACTGTATTGATGAAAATGTGTCCTGATGATGATGGTCTGAGAAGACCAAAACATGTAAGGGCATAAATAATTGAAATAAAACTCTTCACCAGTCACAATAAATGGAACTGTTTAACTTTTCATGATTTCAGTACATATTCACTACTGAACAATGCATTTTAAATGGAAGTTGTAGGTTTTAATGTGATCTGTGCCATGTACCAGTTTCCTCTTAGCAAAATGAGTCTGATGTCAGTTTGAAGCAAAATGGTGGTTGTATGCACCAGTATTACAGCAGACAGGCAACTTTCAGTACAGAGTTACAGCATTAAATTTAATTCAAATTTAGTTCATAGTTTAGATGATCAAACATGGGGATGGAATGACATGACTTTGTCATTATGATTTTATTTATTTGTGTAAACAGTGCATGCAACAACTTATACCCATGTCTTTGTTATGTTAGATGAGGATGGATCCATCCTGATCCAAGAGGTTCCTGTTATATACTCTGCCATGCGGCTAGAGGCCTTGCATTGTGACATGGCTGTTACCGCTGATGTTATACACAACACACCCCTGCACTTCATGCTTGTGAGTCACCACTGCAGTCAGTTATGAGTTAGAACATTATTTTTTGACCTGCCAACTGTTCCACTGTTCCCAGGCTGGGAACCTGACAGCCTTTTGCTGTGTCTTACTGTCATGCAAAGAAAATATGACTATTATCCACAAATCAAATATTTAATGATTATAATGTTTTCAGTTTCTATACTTTTGGCACCACTGCAAAAGCAACTTAAAAAGGTTCAAGGAATTTAAGTGTGTTACTGTGGGAACATAAAGTCAGAATTTTTTTGGTTAACTCTTGGTCACTGATTAGCTATATTCATTCCGAAATATCTGCGTACAGTAATAGCCTGGTTGAAAGCTGAATGAAATGACTGTCAAGTTCTTGTAAAAGTCTGAAAGAAAAGTCAGAACTTTGAGAAAGGCAGAAATACTGGAGCTCAGTCTAGGATTTACAGGTAGTCAAGTCTAACTTTTATTGAAATTAGTGTTAGACTTCACATACTGCTATAAATTTATACACTCATATTAATTATGGTGAAACGTTTTAAAGACATAAAAAATGCATTGCAGTGAGTTGTGAATTTGAATGTACCTTCATTTAATCTTTTAATGAATTTTCTGAGCACCAGTTGCCAAATTAAGTCATCATACTATTACCACAATTCTTCATATTAACTACTTTATAACGATTCTGTTAAAAGTTGATTTACTAGGAAGTTTCTTCTCCAGAAACACATCCTGAGCATGCAACAGGGTATTATTGGATATTCAATATGTAATCACAATCATCTTGTTACAATTTATGTTTTCCGTGCAGATCTTTACACATGTCACTTCTACTGGACAGTGAAAGTTAGTAAGAGAATAGATGAAAACCAGTAGACAGGTTATTTTCAATTGTCTTGATAAGGAAACTGCAATTATAGGATCTGAAACGAGAATTGTAAGTTCTGATTGCAAAAAACTAAAAATTCTGGTGTTTTTGGATATATTTTTAGAAGGGAAAACAGGAATTTTCATAATTTGACATTAATAAATTAACTCCACAGATAGCTGGTAGTCGTTTAGTGAATTGAGGAATCCTTGCCTTTCAGGAAAGCTGAAGGTTTGTTACTGAGTTTTCAGGAGGACCTCACTCAGTCCTAAGGGTGATCAGTGTGATCAGATATAATCTTAATATTTAGTAATGTGCAAAGAATAAAGATGGAGAAATTGCAAAGATAGTTTCAGCCAATTAATAGAAATTCTAAACATGGTGCACAAAAAATGGTTGCCAACAAATGCTGATGTGTTTTCTGTGGGTGAAATATTCACAATCCATTTTTTTTTACATCATTGTCAATTATATATTTGTACAGTGAAATGTAGAAAACTGTAATTTATTCTCAGTTGTATTGCTCGTATTTGCTCGCTGGTTAAAAAAATTTCCAGAGATAGTGACGGACAGTAAGAGAGGCAGAATCCTTCTCTGTTTTGGCGTAGCATTACACAAGTCACTGTGTTTTTAGAAGTTCATACTTCAGGAATAAAATTATCGTTCACAAAAATCCAAGGGAAATTAATGTGAAGAAAATGGCCCCTCTCACCCTTCCACCCACTTTTTAAATTTCTAAGTGCTCAATCTTCCAGCACCTTTTTAAGTTGGCAGGTCCGCATGTTACTTTAGTTTTTTGTCACTGTGTTTTTTCTATTGTTTTTCTTTCAGCTACCACCACAGGTTTGTCGTATTTTGTATTTGTTGTAATTTTGTATGTTTTCCCCAAGGTCACTTATAGAACCAAGTTTCGTTTCAAAATTTTTTTGTGCATCTAGGCATTCAACTTAAGTTATTTTAACAGCAAGGCTAAATCTCTGTTTGATTATTCATATTTGAGTGGTAATGGAATGCTGTAACACCCCTTTCCCACATATCAGTACTATGATTTAAAACTATACATGCTGCTAATTTTGTCATGCCATACCTTTAATACTATAGTAGAACAACTTTTGAATTACTTAAGGAAGTACATTATCAATAAAAGGCTCAAAACAGAAATAGCTAAATATGCCACTGGAACGCGACTGTAATTTTGAATCATAAGTGTCTTATACACTTCCCATTGTTTTGCATACCCTTGAATATGTGTATGCATTGTGGGTTGAAATATTAAATTGTTAAATGTATTATGTGGCTTGTTGCCATTAATGTCAAGTCCTTTGAAATTGAACATCATTTCATGCATAGCGGACTTTTCAGCTAAATTCTTATCAACTATGATCAAGTGCATATGC